GGCATGTGGTGCTGGGGATTGAACCATGGTCCCTGTGCTTTGTTTAGCTTAGCTTGTTCTAAGTAGTTGCTTTAGGCCACTGAGACATCTCACCAGCCCCTTTATTTTTAAAGAGAATGCAAAATAGTAAATAATAAATAAGAAGGGATAAAACATTTCACTAAAGAATGAAGCAAAGGAGGTGCTGGGGAGATGGCTCAGTGGAATAAGCGCTTCCCTGGCAAGTGCGAGGGCCTGAGTTCAATCCCCAGTTCCGAAAATAAATAAATAAATGAATAAATAAATGAATAAATAAATAAATTAATTAAAGAATGAAGCAGAAATTAAGCAATAATTATTGAATGTTGTTGTCTGCAACTGGCTTTTTGGATTATCAGGTGAAAGCATGCAAATTTTTTATGTAAAAAGGAGAAGAGAAAAAATAATTTAAGCATTGACAGTCCTTTCAGAAGACCAGCAGAGGGGCCGGGGAGATGGCTGAGTGGAATAAGCGCTTCTCTGGCAAGTGCAAGGGCCTGAGTTCAATCCCCGGTTCTGGAAGAAAAAAAAAAAAAAAAAGACCAGCAGAAATCAGCAGTGTAATTACTCAAGTTATCCTGTAAATGTACATGAAGCTATTTAATGCATGAGGAATACCAGATATCTGGGTAGAAATGAAAGAACAATAACCTATGTTTTAAAGTCACAAAACATAATAATGATCTACATTGTGATATGTATTTATTTATTTATTTTTTGGAACCAGGGATTGAACTCAGGCCCTTCCGCTTGCTGGGAAAGTGCTTATTCCACTGAGCTCTCTCCCTGGCCCCTGTGATATGTATTTAAAGTGCATGAACAAATAAAATTTTAATTTTCGTTCATTATTTGAAGGCTGATTGTTTATCACATGTAGATGGCGTGAAGTTGAATACGTTTTCCATACCAGGTCTCATGTGATACTCTCTGCAAAGAATGTTGTATAAGTTGATAATATATGCCTCTTACGGTGGGTACCTGCCATTAGATGCCTGCCTGTTGGAGACACTGGCTGGACTGTTGACCTGAACACTTGTCCACCCCATGGGTGCGGTTTCTCCTCCGCCTCAGTGCTGTCTTCTCAGTCCACTTACTAGGAAGTTTGTCAGTACCTCTTTCTCTAAATAGGGGTGTGCATGTTATGTAGGAAACGATCACCATTGAAGATGTGACCATCAGATTCACCCCAGAGGAATGGGCTCTGCTGGACACAACACAGAGAAAGCTGCACAGAGCTGTGATGCTGGAAACCATCAGGAACCTGCAATCCCTGGGTCAGTCTCTTTAGCCACGTATCTATGTATGCACCTACCTTCCATCCTATTTGTCATCACCCCACATTTTCTCGGATACGTGACCCATGTCCCTAACCATCTCAGTTTAGGTTCATTCTTGTATATGGCAAATATGTCAAAGCTCATTTCATTTACTTTTATATAAACTATATTTTTATCATACTCTAAATACCTTTCCAAATTATTTGGGGATGTAATGAAGCAGAATCTTTTTTTTTTTCCAAAATTTTATTGATAAACAGCAATGAGACAGTTTCAAATCAAATCGGAGTTACAGTTTCAGCAAATAACACACTGCATATATTCTTCTTAGTGCTTAATTGCTGTACAAGATGCGGACTTGAGATCCTATTTACAA